GAGGTATTGATTGTCATCAGTCGGAGGTATTGATTGTCATCAGTCGGAGGTATTGATTGTCATCAGTCGGAGGTATTGATTGTCATCAGTCGGAGGTATTGATTGTCATCAGTCGGAGGTATTGATTGTCATCAGTCGGAGGTATTGATTGTCATCAGTCGGAGGTATTGATTGTCATCAGTCGGAGGTATTGATTGTCATCAGTCGGAGGTATTGATTGTCATCAGTCGGAGGTATTGATTGTCATCAGTCGGAGGTATTGATTGTCATCAGTAGAAGGTATTGTCATCCGTAGGAAGTAGGGATGCACCAATACCGTTTTTTTGGTATCGAGTACTGATATATATATTTTTGGTGCTCACCGATACCGGAAGTCCCATTAAGGAAGCCAGGCGGCATGTAAAGACTCGCCACCCGGCTTCCAGATTAGCAAGGAAGCTGTCTCCATGCTCCCTCGTCGCCAGATGACGAGGGAGCATGGTGCCGGCTTTTTGGTTAATCAGGAAGCCAGGCGCCGTGTAATGACTCGCTGCCCGGCTTCCTGATACCGGAAGTATCGGGCTAGGCATCGGAGCATTTGGACGATTGAGTACCCGCTCAAATACTCGGCATCGGTGCAGATACTAGTATCGGTGCATCTCTAATAGAAAGTATTGCTATCTATAAAAAGTACTGGTTGTCATTAATTGGAAGTACTGGTTGCCAACAATAGGACATATTTGTTTTCATCAGTAGGAAGTATGTCATCAATAATCGGAAGTATTGTTTGTCATCAATAAGACATCCCCTGCACTTTTACACCCGTCTCTTTCTATTGCACAGATATGTCAGTACTGCCATCTACAGGCTGTTGGGAGTATTACACATCTATAGAATCGCATTGTCTCTCGGGCGTCTCCAATAGAGATTTCAATGTGTACTTTTGATGCGTATGATATTTCTATTCTTGGGTTTAGATACGCTTTACATGAGGTACCGCTAACCCTTTACTGCCCAGCCTGTGTGTGAACAGACCTCTCTCTCTCCGACCTCCGCAGGGTTACCGGACCGGCTACGCTTACAGGCAGCCCTTGACACGAGATAAGCCGCGCCACAAGAGCGAAGTAGAGATCCCGGCCACGGTCACGGCGTTCACATTCGATGATGAGCAGTCCATGCCGCGCTCCCCGCTGAAGTTCCTCGCCCAGAGGCAGCAGAGGGAGAAGACGAGGTGGCTGAACTCGCCAAACATGTATATGAAAGTCCAGGTTCCTGAGGAGTCCATAAACGGCGAGATGAGTCCAAGGACTAAGATCACGGTGAGCGCGGCTGGAGCATCAACTATATGAAAGGGATTTAAAGATCCCTCAATAAAAAAAGAATGAATCCCTGTAGGTCCACTTCAGTCATTGATGTTCTATAGTAATTGTGAACCAATTTGCCCCAGACGGGTTCTTTTTCCTGTATCAGTATTCAGATGCTTTGATGTCCCTGAAAAATTCCAGTTTGGGACCGCCCACTGTTCACATCAGGGGTGAGCACTGCCACCCTCCAGCTGTGCTTTAACTACAAACCCCAACGTGCGTCCGGGAGGTATGTCTCTGTCATTCTTGCAATGCCTCATGGGACTTGTAGCAGCTGGAGGGCCAGGAATTGCCCACCCATGGTTCACATCCTGGACAGTCACGTTTCTTCTTTAGGAGGGTAGCTGGAATGGAACTGCTGTCAATCAGTGGCCTGGTGGGAGGAGCATGGGAGTGGCTTAGAACAAAGACTATGGTGCCACCTGTGCATGAGCCTACCCAGGAGCATGCACATTAGGGTGACCACATTGGGGTCGCAGGGACACCTTAAATGGCAGCTGGAATGGAACGGCTGTCAATCACTGTGGGAGGAGCAGGGGAGTTATTTAGAGCAAGAGCTACATCGGCGCCTGTGCGTGAGCCCACCCGGGAGCATGCTCATTAGGGTGACCACACTGGGGTCGCAGGGACACCTTGAATGGCAGCTGGAAGCAGGTAGCTGGAATGGAACAGCTGTCAATCAGTGGCCTGGTGGGAGGAGCAGAAGAGTGGCTTAGAACAAAGACAACGGTGCTGCCTGTGCATGAGCCCATCCAGGAGCATGCACAATATGGTTGTGGCCCTGGGGCTCCAGGACCACCCTGAATGACAGCGTAGCCACTCGTATATAGGAGGAAGTACATCCTAAATGCTGCATCTGATGACAGGTCCACTTTAAAACCATAAAATGATTCAGCCAGTCCTCTCCTCGTATATCAGATACCATAAAAAAAATTTTTCCTCTCTCTCTGGCAGAACATTCCTCGTGTCCTCCCCGGAGTTCATCGCTCCCCCCAATCCTCAGATAACCTCTCTTTTGTGTCTCTTGCAGTGGATGAAAGCCGAAGAGCTGAACCAGAATTCCGGCGGATATCCTATTAAAATAGAAGACCCCAATCAGTTTGTCCCTCTGAACACCAACCCCACCGACGTCATGGAGAAGAGAAACAAGGTGACGAATATTCCCCGGTCCCGGATTTTCCTGCAGCTGCCGCTTTATTCTCAGGATGTCCTGCCAGCTTTCTAGCCGCCTGTTATTGTGCCGTTCACTATGTGGTGTCCCCGGCTCTGAGGAGCTCATTATTCCACACAGACTGATCCGTTTTACTATTGGGTTGCGGCTTCCTATTGTCCTGGCAGGACAGCGCTGCAGCTTAGTGATTTGTAGTCTGATCCCCTCTTAATGGGCACAGCGGGTGTACAGACCCGGGAACTCAGCACAGGGATGGTGGGAGCTCCTCATAATGGGCACAGCGGGTGTACAGACCCGGGAACTCAGCACGGGGATGGTGGGAACTTCTTATAATGGGCACAGCGGGTGTACAGACCCGGGAACTCAGCACAGGGATGGTGGGGATCCCTCATAATGGGCACAGCGGGTGCACAGACCCGGGAACTCAGCACAGGGATGGTGGGGGCCCCTCATAATGGGCACAGCGGGTGTACAGACCCGGGAACTCAGGACAGGGATGGTGGGGGCCCCTCATAATGGGCACAGCGGGTGTACAGACCCGGGAACTCAGCACAGGGATGGTGGGAGCTCCTCATAATGGGCACAGCAGGTGTACAGACCTGGGAACTCAGCACAGGGATGGTGGGAGCCCCTCATAATGGGCACAGCGGGTGTACAGACCCGGGAACTCAGCACAGGGATGGTGGGAGCCCCTCATAATGGGCACAGCGGGTGTACAGACCCGGGAACTCAGCACAGGGATGGTGGGAGCCCCTCATAATGGGCACAGCGGGTGTACAGACCCGGGAACTCAGCACAGGGATGGTGGGAGCCCCTCATAATGGGCACAGCGGGTGTACAGACCCGGGAACTCAGCACAGGGATGGTGGGAGCCCCTCATAATGGGCACAGCGGGTGTACAGACCCGGGAACTCAGCACAGGGATGGTGGGGGCCCCTCATAATGGGCACAGCGGGTGTACAGACCCGGGAACTCAGCACAGGGATGGTGGGAGCCCCTCATAATGGGCACAGCGGGTGTACAGACCCGGGAACTCAGCACAGGGATGGTGGGAGCTCCTCATAATGGGCACAGCGGGTGTACAGACCCGGGAACTCAGCACAGGGATGGTGGGAGCTCCTCATAATGGGCACAGCGGGTGTACAGACCTGGGAACTCAGCACAGGGATGGTGGGAATCCCTCATAATGGGCACAGCGGGTGCACAGACCCGGGAACTCAGCACAGGGATGGTGGGGGCCCCTCATAATGGGCACAGCGGGTGTACAGACCCGGGAACTCAGCACAGGGATGGTGGGAGCTCCTCATAATGGGCACAGCGGGTGTACAGACCCGGGAACTCAGCACAGGGATGGTGGGAGCTCCTCATAATGGGCACAGCATGTGTACAGACCCGGGAACTCAGCACAGGCATGATGGGGGCCCCTCATAATGGGCACAACCCAGGAACCCATTGCAGAGATCTCACTAATAGTTGTCTCAAAGAGATAGGAAACACTGTTGAGTAATTTATTGATCATCCATCAAACACTGAAATATCCGATATAGGTGTCCTGACCGTGTTATTGGCTCCCACCCGCCTCATTTTGGTGATTGTGGGAGGAGTTTTAGATTCAGCAGTAAGAACTGATCGGAATGTCTCATCTGCACTGCTACAAAGTTTACAAAAAAAAAAGTAAAAACATGTTTCGATGTATCTGATGAATAGAGAGATGTCAGGGGACGATGTTGTTTTGCTTTAAGTGACAACTTAGCTGTGAAAATAAAAAACCTGCAGACAGCTGGTGACACCATGTTGGTCAGACATCTTAGCGTTGTCACCACTTCTTCTTCTTGGCTATTCCTAAATATTGACTTGTTCTCTCCTCCAATAGATCAGGGAGCTGAATCGGTACGATCTAAAGACCGCTGGGCCCCAGTCACTAGTCCTGGCGGGCATCGTGGTGGAGAAGCCAAGTGCGGTGAGTAGATGATGTCAGGAGCTGGAACCTCCTTTCTTAGAGCTTCTAAATTGGCCACAGCAGGTCCCATCCCGCAGCTCCTGTACACCCTTCAGGTTCCTGGGGGCAGCCGTATGTGCTTATTACATATGCAGGTTCTGCTTCCTCCTTCTAAGGGCTTGTTCAGAGGGCCATACGGCATATACGCCCGTAAAAAGTCCCGATCCCGGGAGGGACTGGTGCTGCGTCTAATTGCTTGCTGCCGCAGGTTCTTCCCTATGGGAGGACGCAGCTGCACACAGTTGCATTCTGTCATGCGCGCACCTGAACATCCATGCGGGCCCTCCCGAGTCACCGACCCAGAACAAGCATGCAGAAAGTGAAGTCGGAGCCCTCGGATCTGCGTATGTGTTCTAGGTCAGATGGCATTGAAGCCATGACAGCCAGGCAAACCAATGTCAGCCATGACAGCCTCCAAATTCTCTACATACAGACCCCCGTGAGTGGGGCATTTAGGGGTGGTATTAGAAATGTCGGCACCTAGAATTTCTCAGTCCTTAGAGACAGGCGGGTTTCCCTGAATTTTGCCTTTTTATGGTAACCAATTATGTGCTGAGGTGAAACTCTCTTCTGTGTCCTCCACAGCCAATGCATTTCGAAGAGGATGAGAACGCTCCTCCCCCACCTCCCAATCCGTTCAGCCAGTTGCTGGAAGAGGAAACGCAGGACAGGAGGGGTAATGGGACACGAGGTGAGTTCTAGCCTGCAGAGTTCTCTCTATCATTTAAGTGGACCGAACGCGGCCTACCTTTCCTGTTTTATATTACTTACTGGAGTGTCGAAGACAAACCATCGCTCATCGTAGTCCATTTATAGAAAAATCACAGACCATTGCTAGTACTGGTCCATTTACAAAGAGCAGACCATTGCTAGTACTGGTCCATTTACAAAGAGCAGACCATTGCTATTACTGGTCCATTTACAAAGAGCAGACCATTGCTAGTACTGGTCCATTTACAAAGAGCAGACCATTGCTAGTACTGGTCCATTTACAAAGAGCAGACCATTGCTAGTACTGGTCCATTTACAATAAGCAGACCATTGCTATTACTTGTCCATTTAAAAAAAATCATGGACCCTTTGTCGAGGACAGACCTTTGTTATTACTAGTCCCTGGTGGTCTGCAGGCTCCATCCTGGACACATTCACACAACACTAAGGTAAGCCAGTATCTTGCATGTGGTCTTTCCTTCCTGGCTGGAGAGCAGCTTTAAAGGGTCCCTGTCACAAAGGGAAGAAACCTACAAGATGGCTTTAATGTTAGCAGACCTTTCCTGAGCTGGGTACCAATAGTATGAAGTCTGTGAATGGCTGCTTTCAGCGGTGCCTTATCACATGGCTTCCTCTGATGTCACTGCACACTAGGAGCGTCTCACAACGTACATTAGAAGCTGCAGCAAGTCCAGTAAAATTGGGTGTGCAATGAAAATGGAAAGTGTCATTAGCATGTTGATGATGAGGGAGGAGCCAGGGAAAGGCCACATATAAGCAGATTAAACACGTATGTATTTACAATGTTCGTATCTCACATTGGATGGAGTCGGCTCTATTAGATTCTTCCGTTTCCTGTTCCATCCGTCCCCGGCATCGTCTTCTCATCCACTTGTAAAGCTTTGTAACTTTAACATGGTCACCTGACTTTGTACATTTGTCTCCGAAACGTCATCTGACTCTTGTGTGTTCCGTGCGGTCACATGTCTGTCTGCTCATTGGCCAGTTTTGCTGTCCCACGGATCTTCTGTCACATTCTCACTGATGTCTTCTGTGTGTCCCGTCATTATAACTCCATCTCCCCGCATGACAACCCGCATGACAACTAACACCAGTCTTAACCCTGCAGATGCCGAGCATGAGCTAATCTCAGAGACGGAACCTTCTGTCCCCGTCTCTCAGT